ACCATGACTTAGGAGCTGACTCAACAGCATCTAACAACAAGTGGCCAGATGTCCTCAAAACCCTCAAAACATAACTGCGTGGAAACAAACCACCCAAAGTGACCAGACCACCACTGTAGCAACACCTGCTCAAAAAGAAACAAAGGGAAGCTATGGGCAGCATCCAAAAAGCCAGAGAACAGGAAACTCCAAAATAGGCAGCAAGTATTCGTTGGGAGGCACAGCAGACAAATTGGAGAAGAGCAGCTGAAACTAGGAGGAGTTTGCCCATCCAATGTGAGGTGGGTAGAAGGGCCTCAGATAGTTCTGAAGGAGCTAGAGTATCTGAGACACAAAAGCTCATTCAACCATCCAGCCTAAGCTCCCTTCTAGGTCAGGCACCCAAGGAGAAGCTGTTGGGAGTGGGACCAAGATTGAGCAGGACAGGGACTCTGCAAACAAAGAAAATAGAAGGGTGAGATAGAAGTGTGGGAGGTGAAAGAGCCAGAAAATCTCCAATGGCAAGCTGCCTTAGATATTGACACTTCACAAAAACGAGGGAAGAAGTAGGTTTATCATGTTAGAAACAGGATTCTGAACCACATCATCTTCAAAAAGTCTGGGAAAATGAATTTCACATAAAAATGAGCAAAAGAAAAGTATCAAAGTCAAATTATGTCCACAGTTCTTATAAGAAAAAGGAGAGCAAGGAGAAGAACATCCTTACAGGCACTGAAACTTCACCAGAAAGATGAGCCCCAAACAGATCAAAACTATAATCTACTGTTTCAAACAAGTGAATAGGAATTGTGGCAGCCTGTTACAGCAGAATGCTCTTTAGAACTGGGGATGGTGAGACTTCATCTCATGTACTTTGGACATGTCTCCAGTCCCTGGAGAAGGACATCATGCTTGGTAAAGTAGAGGGTCAGTGAGAAAGAGGAAGACCTTCAAAGAGATGGATTGACACAGTGGCTGCAACAGTGGGCTCAAACATGGCAATAATAGTGAGGATGGTGAAGGACAGGGAAGTGTTTCATTACACTGTCCTTAGGGTCCCTATGAGTCAGAACTGACTCGACAGTACTTAACAACAGCAACAAGTATGTTAAAGGTCCCCACCCACCCAATGAATCAGGCCTCCTGGTATCCCTGCTCTACTAGGTCCCTTCCCACATGGTCTCTGGCCTTGGCCACGTGACTTGCTTTGAATAATGGGACATCAGGAAAACATGAAGCCTGGAGAGGCTTGATAAACACACAGACATTGGGTTTGTCTCTTTGAAACTCTGCTGCCATCACATGCCAAAGCTCAGATGAGTGCCCTTGATGATGAAAGACCATGCAGAGAGAGGTCTGGTCATCCTGCTTGTCCCAGCAGAGCCCTGCTCCGAGTTGAGCCACTAGCTGAGTACCACTGTGTGAGTGAGCCCAGCCAAAACCAGCAGAAGAGCCATCCAGCCAGCCTACATGATTGTGGGCAGTAGTACATTGTAATTGTTCTACGCTGCTAAGTTTTGGCATAGTTTGTCACATAGCCATTAATAACTAGCTTGTTGACGTTGTTGTGTGCCACCAAGTCAATTCTGACTCACAGTGACAGACCAGAACTGCCCTCATAGGACTTTCTAGGCTGTAATCTTTACAGAAGCAGATCAATAGGTTTCTCCCCCATGAAACCACTGGGTGGATTTGAACTGCCAACCTTTTGGTTAGCAGCTAAATGCTTAACTGTTGTGCCACCAAGCGTTCTTGATAACTAATGTAGACATGAAAAATTAATAACTAATAGAGATACTAAGAAAATTATACAATGCACTTACTCCTAACTTATTGACTATCTTGTTATCTAACACTTCACACTTAGGACCACAGTAAAAAATCTACTATCCTGCTATTTTGCACATTAATGATGTATGTCTGGCAGTAATGAATGCTGAGGTGTGAGGTGGGAGGAACACTGGCTGTGGCGGTCAAAACTGTATGTCAACTTGGCTGGGCCATGATTGTCAGTGGTTTGACAGTTATATAATGATGCAATTTGGCAGTTACATCATGATGTAGTCAGCCTCCATTTTGTGACCTGATGTGGTCATTGTCCATTATCCATAATGTCGATTTCTGCATAATGACCTGGTCTTTGGACCCTAACCATGTCAATAAGTGAGGAGTGGGTGTATGTGAGCAAAAATGATATATTACAGAACTTATAATACTCAGAAACTAGGTGAGAGAAATGTATTTAAAACATAAAAACTTCACTAGAAAGGACACAAAGCAACTAAACACAACAGACAATGCCTTGAGAGAAAGACAAAAATGGAAAAAAGTCAAAGAAATGAAGAAAAGGGTAAAAAGGATTTGAGGGAAATTGACAAACATTGAAGACTGGCAAAGAAGACCCAACATTCAGGCTGCAGGCATTCTTAACAAACCAAACTAAAGAAGAGAACAGAATGCATACTAGAAACTATTGTTTCAGAAAATACACTCTCAGTTTTTACACTACATATTGAAAGAGCACTGTGCATCTAAGAATAAAGATCCAAAGTGACTAAGACCAGAATATACGCTGGCAAAACCATGGGGCCAGTGTGCTCTGGCTGAGTAGAAGTTCTCCAGAAGTTCCACGAGCATGAGAGGGGCTTCCCATCCGAGGGCACAGCTCAAGTGAAGGCCCAGAGGTTCATGAGAGCAGAGCACATGCTGGGAACAGGTGGAGCCTGGTGTGGAGATGGGAAATGGGTGTGGGAGGGGTGGCAGGTGGAGCAGGAGAGACATGCTAAGGCCTTGGGCACTAGGCCTGGTCATGCAGTAGGGGGGTCTGGACCACTCACCCATGTAGGGCTTGGTCCCAGCCATGGAGGAAGCCTTTTCTGCACCTCTCACAACTGTTGCTATGTTGAAGTCCGTAATGTGAACATGTCCTGAAAATACAGAAACAGAAACTCCAGTTAGCAAAGGCTGCAGGCAGCTGGCTCAGTTTGTTGTTTGACTGACAGCTGTGGTCAAGGTAGATGCAGGAAGAAAATATTACTATAACTTTTATTTATTTTTATGTTTTATTCAGTTTAAGTGTCATCCTGGGACACAGACAAGTGGGCAATCTACTTCCGTAGTGATACTGCCTCAGAAACCCAAGGAGGGGTCGCTATGAGTTGGATCTGACTCTATGGCACATAACAACAGCAACAACAAAAGTCTATTTTGTGTGCATGTCTTATAACCTGAATTAGTTTGGTGCTATAAGTCAGAGCTGACTCAATGGCACCGAACGACAACAGCAGACACAGAGGTACACGTGGGGAAAGAGACATCGTGTCAGGACTGCCTACAAGTCATGGAACTCCAAGCAACCAAGGAACACCTGGGTCTACAAACAAAGAGGGCTTGAGATGGCCAAGGTCCTGAGTTAGACTCTGAGTCAAATCTGTGAGAAAATAAATTTCTGTTCTTTAAAGCCAACTCCTTGTGTTATTTATGTTATAGCAACACCAGGCAACTAAAACAAGGAACATGATAAAAAGTATATAAACTGCATGAATGTGTAAAATGTCCATATGCAGTGTACAGGTCACAGGGGACAACTTCTTAGTGACAACTAAGCACTTTGAGGGAGTGAGTCACCAGGCTTATGGGCTTGGGACCATGGTCACGGGGGACATCAAGCTCAATTGGCACAACATAGTACACAAAACATTGTTCTATATCCTACTTCGTTGAGTAGTGACTGGATTCTTAGAAGCTTGGGAGAAGCCATCTAAGATACAACTACTGGTCTCTCCTCATTTGGAGCAAAGAAGAGTGAAGAAAACCAAAGACACATGAAACAATGAGTCCCAACGACTGATGGGCCATGAGAACCTCAGCTTATACGACCCTGAGGCAAGAAGGACCAGATGGTGCCTGGCTACCCCTACCAACCACGCACAAAGGGATCAACATTGGAGATCCTGAAGAGTGGGAAGATATGTGGAACAAAATTTAAAAAAACAGAAAAGACCAGGGTTACTTGTCAGATAGAGACTGGTGAAATCCCTGAGACTATGGCCCCTAGTCACCCTTCGGGGCTGGAACTGAACTCACTCCAGTGGCTTAACTCTCAGCCAAACAATAGACAGGACTACGAGCTGAACACCTACACCAGGGAGCTGTTAGAACAGCTGTTAGAACAGTCAACCCTGGGAGAGGAGAAGGGCAGCATTTGCGCAGGGAGAAAGCTAAGCAGGCAGGAACACATAGGCAAGAAGGACACAGGGAGAGAGTGACCACAGGGAAGAGGTGGGAGGAGAGCTATTACATGGTGGGGATTGTAATCAGCGTCACAAAACTAAATGTGTATGAACTGTTGCATGTAAAATGAATATACTTTGTAAAATTTCATCCAAATCACAATAAAATTATATATATATATATACACACACACACACACATATACATATATATACATACATATATATACATATATATATGGGAGCTGGTAGCATAGTGGCTAAGGCACTTGACTGCTAACCAGAAGGCTGGCGGTTCAAACCCACCAGCCACTCCTCAGAAGGAACATGGGGCAATCTAC